ATCTTTGAAGTTGATGGAATGAAATTGCTGAATTCTAAGGCTTTCCTTTTCTAAATTCATCTAACTTTCAATAAACCAGTATTCATTCTGAGATGCATGGCTGGGGCACCATGGCTCTCTCTGTGTCCTGAGTCTTTCTTGTGCCCAGGTGACTGCTCCCTGCCCTACCCCACAGGCATGCATTTTTTTTATGGCTCTGAATTCAAACTTAGCTTTGAAGTTGCCATGTCGTCCTGTAGGGAAGCAATGGTGAACATGAGTGCCTATAGCTATCCTTTACCTTCTTTCTCATGCAACATTTTTGAGGCCAAAATCTTTTTTTCTGTGCTAATATTGCTACTTCTGACATTTTATTTTATGACAGCTTTTAGTTCATAGAGTTTTCATAAATCTTATAATCAGTTTCTCATATTAGTGTCTTACATTATTATGGCACATTTGTCACAATTAAGAGTCATCTTGATACATTTCAGCTAACTGAAGTTGATATTTCATCCAGATTTTCTTAGTTTGTACCTAAATATACCTAATTTCCAGTCCTGAGATTCAATCCAGGGTACCACATTGCATTTACCTGTAATGTCTCTTTAGATTTTTCTTACCTGTGACATTTTGTCGCTTTCCTCTTCTTTGATGAATCTGACAGTTTTGAGGAGGGCTAGTCAAGGGCTTTGTATATCTTTAGTCAAGATTTGTCTGATGTTTTCCTCCAAATTGGGTAAAGCTTGTGGCTTTGTTGAGAAGATCACAGAGGTCAAGCATCATTCCCATCCTATCCCATCGAGGGCACATACTATCAGCAGGACTAACTGCTGTCCATGTTAACCTCAATCACCTGGCTGAGGAAGTGCTTGGTCCCTCAGGTTACCCCACCATACCATCACTCTCTCTCTCTCTGTTTCCATACCGTATTGTTTTTGGAGGAAGCCATTCTGCACAGGCAGTGGAAGTTAATTTTTTCTTCACCTCCCTGGGCAAGGTGGGTATTTCTGATAGCTGTTGTCTTCACCTCACTCATTATTCAGGAAAAGACCCAGCAGTTCTTCCGATCTGCTGCTCTGATGTCTCCTAGGGCTTTGCCATCTTAATCCTCTCAGCATTAAGGAAAAAGAAACTGTGGAGGAGAATGTTTGCTTTTCGAAGCTTTGGCCTGAAAATGGCATACATCACTTCCACTTGCATTCCATATGACACTCCTTCATCTGCCAAACCTAATTGCTAGGGAGGCTAGGACATATGGTCTAGCTGGGTGCCCAGGAAAAAGAGGAAGTGGATTTGAGAAAAATGTGAGCAGCATTTGCCTCGTTTCTTTAGAGCCCAAAAGGTGACAAACCAATCCCTTCTTACCCACCGTCTCATAATACAGTCATGGTTTCATTAAAAAGTAAAAAAGGAAAACCGAAGTAGTAGGAGAACATAGACTTAGAGTCAGGGTTGTGGACACTGAAAAAGATGTAGAATAAAAAATCGTTCTGTTGGCTATATTTTACTAACTTCATTGTTGACCTCTGAGCATGTGTTGAGGACAGGTACTTGCACGTCAGCGTTGGAAAACCTGGGCCATATATTCTCAAGGTAGCAGATTGTATTGTTCTCAGATTCTACCATGTCTTTCTGTCAGGAATGCCTCCCTCTGGTTTTTATTGCCTATGAGAAACCTGTTCATTCTTCAAGTGACAGATGAGGTGTTTAACCATGCCTCATAGTCCATTCTGCCTGCCTGACCTCCACGCAGAGTTAGTCTCTGCTTCTTGAGTTCATATATCCTACTCTGCCCTGCCCTGTCCTGCTGTGCCCTTTCCTGCCTGCCCCTCCGCTTCCCTTTGTCCCCTCCTCTACCTCTCCCCTTCCCTTCCTTTCTTTTCTGTCTTCCCTGTGCTGGGATTGGACCTGGGGTCTCATACATGATTGGCAAGCACTCTACCACCGAGCTACTTCCCTAGTCCTTTTTGTTTTTTATTTTGAGATAGTTTCTTGGCAAGCTGTCCTGACTGGCCTCAAACTTGTAATCCTCCTGCCTCAGTCTGCCAAGTTGCTGGGATTACAGGCATGTGCCATCATACTCAGCATCTTTCCTTAAAATATAGCACGTGCTTTTGCTCACTCTAAAAGACAGCCTCACTTATGTTTCCCCAGCCTTCATGGAGTCATCTGTCTGGAGCTGAGCTCGGGCTTTGTAAGTGGGAATATAGTACTGACCATTAAGGTGGGCTACACAGCTTTCCTCTGACCCATCCTAGGTTCTGGGTCCTTGGTCAGTAAGTCTACTGTGAAACTTCTGTAGTACTACGTTCACTTTGGTAGCTGATCACATCATTAAGAGCCGGGCCCAGCACTTTCTCTGGCACTACTCTCAGCGGTGGAGGTTGGTATAAAAGTGTGGTGCTCATTATCCTGAGCAGGAGTTACCAACCTGAACTCCCAGAGTCCCAGCAGGGGATAGCTTCACCATGGCAGAAGAAGTGTTTAGTTACAGGCACAGAAGAAGTTCATGAGGAAAACAAACACTCATTTGCAGGCTTTGGTGACTAAGCTGCCCTGCGTCTCATTACTAACAAAAACGTGACTTCTTAAAGTGACCTAATGCCTGCTAGAACAAAACCATGAATGCAGAGATACTTGTCCCTTTCCTTCTTCCTGTGATTTTCTACCCTCCACTCTCAGTTTGCTGTTTGCTTCAGTGGCTTTACCAACTCGGTCAATGTTGTACAACAGAAATAAGGAAAGAGTCTGTGCTCAGTGGTGTCTTTTCCCTTAACCACATTGTTTCCTTGAGTGTTACACTCCATATTTTAGACTTTAACTGGGATTTATATTTTTATGGTGTCTTTTAGTTCACTACTGGCAAACCTATGGCACGTGTGCCACAACAGGCTGTTTGTTATCACTGAAAGCTCCAAAAGCTTCGCCATCATTGTTTTAATTCCTATCATCATTTTATTGTTTACTCAAAGTTCACTGTAACTATAAATTGGGTTGGAATTGTATTTTCTCATTACACAGATACAAATACAGAGATTAAATGACATGCGCAGGACCAAAAAGCAGTTGGGGTTCTATGCTGGGTCTTCTGACTCCAAATGTAGAAGTGAGTGTGCCACCTGAGAAGCTGACCATTAGCCAGGTACCCTCAGGGCAGAGCTACACAGAGAACTGCCTGTGGGGAGCTTAACTAGAGAGGAGTTTCTCTGAAGTGACGTGGTAGATGGGATGGGCGTGGTCCATGGAGGTGAAGCATTGAAGACAAGTCCATTAGTGCAGTTGTGCAGCACTCTGGGCAGACTATTCCAATGCATTCAAGGTGAAAAGAGACTCATAAAGGGAACCTCAGACCACTTAGTGCAACTTTCGGATTTCATCGAGAAGGAAATTGAGACCCATAAATTAAATTGAATCTATTTAACTGAAAAAGATATCAGATAGTTATTAGACTGTTTAATTTCCAGTTCACATTTTTTTTTTTAATGTCATCTCCCTCCTCCTACACAATTTTCTTGGCATCTTTAGCTTCTTAGGGCTGCTTTAAAGAAGATATGATGATACTTTCTCTGCCCTGATATTCCCAAACATTTGTCATCAAGTCATACACGTAAAAATGTATATGTTACAGCGGGTGGGAACATTTCTACAGAATTAATCGCATCCAGTCCTGAACAAGAATTCCTTTTAGGTCTCAGTATCAGTGAATGCGTGCAATGTAATGCACAGTGCCTACCATTTTGATTGACAGAAAGAGAGAGGGGGGGTGTGGGGGGACAGAGACAGAGACAGAGATTTTCTTAGTAAATGGAATAAGTGGGCAAAGGATGAAGTGGAGGAGCAGGCGTTCAGCTGTTGTCCTACTGAGCACACTATATTGCTACTTCAGCAATCATATGATTTCCATCTTTGCTTCAATTTTTATCCCCAGAGGCAGCATTTTTCTTCTTGTTTCTACTTTATAGAATAGTGCTGTAAATACACTAGAGTAATTTTCACCCAACACTCGAGACAAAAAGTGGTGCTGCCCTGGAAATGAGGTTGTTACTAGTAGCCAGCACCACAATAAAAAAGCTTTAAAGTATCTGTATTAGCTGATATACAAAACTCCAAATGTGGTATACAAAAGCCAGTCTGAGCATTTCTATCTGTAGCAGTCTTACCAATGAAGGCTGTTTCCAGTTTGAAATACTTAAGAAATTGACTTTATTTGGTACTGAAGCAATGACTTTTTCAGTATTGGGGTTCCTCCCTGACAAAGTATTTATTTATTTATTTATTTATTTATTTATTTATTTATTTTTGTCTTTTTGAGACAGGGTCTCATTGTGCAGTTCAGGCCAGCTGTGAGCTCACTTTGTAGCCCAGGCTGGTCTCGAACATCAATGATCCTCCTACCTCAGCCTCCCCGGTGCTGGGATTACAGGCGTGCGCCACCACACCTGACCCAACAAAGTATTTAGTAAAGGAGAAATCTGCATTTCCATATAATTCCTGGTGATATCTCATGACCCCGTTTTCTGTTTTCAAGTCATTCTTTCTGGCTAAAATTGATCAAAATTTCAAAATCCAGGAGTTTCTGATTGATAATTGACATCCTGCAGAAAAAAAAATCTTCGGTCTGAGGGTGACTGCTGGAAGCTCAGGAGGAATTGCAGTGACATTTTGGCCTAAACAAAAACCAGTTGGAACACGGCTATAAACTTGGTGGCACCTTGCATCCAGACACCAGATGCATGAGGGAGGAAAAATAATTCACTTTTGAGCATGCCTGTATATTTCTAAAGTATAATTATCTTTTATTTATTCACATTTGATTTACTACTGCAAAGTACTGTGATTCTGTCCCTAGGAGGAGAAAAAATATTGGCTATAATACTGACATGCACCCTTCCAAGTAGTAATTTTAATATTTATGCCATTGGCATTTATACATTTACTTAAAGTGTTGAATAATTTGCAAGTGTGCATTTTTATAAACAAAATAAAAATGTGAATAATTATTTCATTTTGTTTTGCAGAACCCCAGCTGAAAGGTATTGTGACAAGGTTATTCAGCCAGCAGGGATATTTCCTGCAGATGCACCCAGATGGTACCATTGATGGGACCAAGGACGAAAACAGTGACTACAGTAAGGAACATTAGCTTCTTGCAGTCCTGTTAGAAATTGAATGTGTGGCCCAGTGTAGCTAATACTTAAACCACTGGCCAGGCTAGTTTAACTTTCAGTGAGCTAGTGTCTTTTCCTTTATCCTTTTGCCATGGATTTCCCCACCACAAGAGATAGTACAAGGAAAAGGTTATGTACCAAATGAAAAGGTATGAGACTTGAAAGAGTTCCAGTTGGTCGATACATCAGCATGTTTTCCATTGCAATATTTCCCAAAGGTGATAAGTAACCACAGGAAAAATACAGACTTTGTAGCCTTATGCTAGTATTTAAAATAATACTTAAATCTTGAAATCAAGTAATGAGGGGCTGGGGATTTAGCTCAGCGGCAAAAGCGCCTGCCTGGCAAGCGCAAGGCCGTGAGTTCGGTTCCTGGTACCGGAGAAAAACCAAAAAAAAAAAAAAAAAAAAAAGAAATCAAGTAATGAATAAGTTGTAATTCTCAGAACACTTTGTGGCAGACAAAAATCAGTTTCTTGGTAAACATTGAAGACATACATATGTATATATTATTTCATTTTGTTTAAGGGTAAAACTAAAAAAAAATATTTACATGTTATAATCATGTTTTATAGTGTCAAAGACTGGTAGACCTGACATGTCATTTTATATTTTGAAATAAAGATAACAAATATTAAAAGACTAATAATACTATAATACTACACCTGGAAATAGATTTTTGTGGTGACAAGTTCAGCAACTAAATACAATCATTCAGGTATGACAGTGTATTTGCATTTCAGAAAATTTTCAAATATAAGCTTCAGAGGCAAGGATGATAGCTCACATGTTTTAATTTTTTCATACCAATATCATATCTAGCTACATCAGAGTAAATTCATAGTCTCTGAAATCATTCAAGGTGTCATATTGTTTTATAAAGCATGCAGACACTTCTGGAGTGTTAGTGTTGCACACACAATAACTGTTCATTAAATATATGCCCAAGGGAATAGTGATTTTATTGGATAAATGTGATTATTTTGATCAGATCAACAATCTCCCATGCTATCTAAAGTAACCTAAGAAGCCTGACATTTTATAATGATGAACCTTTAAATTAATAACATAGATTTGAACAAAGAGTAAAAATCCTTCAAGTGCCAAAATGATTTTGTCCACCCCTGCTAAACTTTCTTTGTTCATTTAATTTTACACATTGCAAAATATGAATTACAATAAAGAATAGATTTTTTTTTTTTTAAAGAATAGATCTTATTATGAAGACTTTCTTCTCTGGGTTCTTCTCTCAGTTTTGAGCAGTGTAGCTGGTTTAGTACATCGTGGTTTGCATTGTTGGTTTGTATTGCTATAAATGCATTCTTCAAAGGATTCAAGTTTTCGATTCAGTATAGAGGAATGAGGATGCCCCTCTGCATGCAAGTGCGACTGTCATCTACTATGTCTATATATGAATGTCGATTTAGGAGGCTACAATTATAAAGGGAAAGAATCAGAAAACTGCTTAGCTATACCATCCTTGGCAATTCTGAGATGTCAGTGAATTCTGAGGTTCCAGTTTCCTTTTTATCAAACAACATAACTAGAGATGATGATATCAATATCCTCTGTCAGTGCCATTCACACAGTGTGGGAATAATTGCAATGTTATAAATTGGTGAAGATAGATTCAAACCCTGAGTAGAGCAGATAGTCATAGTCAGTTCCACAGGGGACTTCCTTCACCCAGCCAGCTGTACTGTGGGTGGGTGATACTAACACAAGGCAAGGACAGAATATGGGCGCACAAGTGTGGGATCAAATACACACAAATCTTTCCTTCACCTTTTCTAGAAAGTAATTGAAAGTGCTTTCTCTACTCAGACTGAGTCTGCCATAGTCATACTTATATGTACATGCATATATAGGTACCCATATAATTATATATACTTATAATGTTATATCTATCTATCATCTATCATCTATCTATCGATCTATCATCTATCTATCTAAGAATAATGGCTGATATACATGTACCACACACATACCCCACACAAAATGAGGACAGTAGATTAGGTATTTTGTCAAATGCTTTTAGAAACCATCTGAACTCATATCTAAACCAAGTTTTACTAAGACGAGCTACTAAACTCTTTGATAAGTTGTTACTAAGATAGTTTAGATGTACAGAATGAAAGAATAGTGTAAATTCATCTGTTACCCACCACCAGCTTAGCTTTTTTTTTTTTTGTGGTACTGGGGATTGAACTCAGGGCCTTGTACATGATAGGCAAGTGCTTTACCACTGAGCTACACCCCCAGCCTACCTACCACCAGTTTAAAAGTGAATTAAAAATGTCAATACATTTGAACTTCCTGTGTGTTCCCTCTGAAGGAAACCTGCTTTCCTTCATTACCAGACATAATAACTCTCCTAAATATGAGTTTTCTTGGTTCCATGCAATTTAACATGCCTTTTGTATAAAAGCACACTTAACCCCTTCATAATATTTTTGCATATTTTTAAACTTTTTATAAGTGATAGCGATATCATACATCTCTTTTATATCCTTTATCCTTAATATTATGGTTTTGAGGTTTTCATAGTTAATATACTTGATTTATCCAAGTCATTTCTGTAAAAGATTCTAATGTATGAATATATCCAAACATTTATCCATTCTTTTATTTGGCCAGTAATTATCATTTCTATTGTAAATCACTTACAGACAGTGCCACGAAGGTCATTCTTACCGGTGTTGAAAAGATCTTCATTGGCTAATCTTCAAACAATTACAGTATACATATCTCACCTTGGCACTGTGTATCCTGGTACCCAATAGTTTATTTTGGCTTGTGATTTTAATTCAGTCCATGAAGGATTATGCTGGCTGTGCTAGTCATGCAGTGGTACAATGAGTATGTCGTGGTGGGGGTGGTGGCAGAGGAGGCCTGTCCACATGGCTGGGGTGTGAAAGAGAAAGAGGAAGGAGTGGGGTTCCACAATCCCCTTTGCACGCACATCCTTGTTGACCTATCTTTTTAGGATTCCAGCCTCAATAACACTATGCTGGTGACCAGGCCATCAGTAAATGAGCTTTGGGGAGACTTTCCATATCCAAAGTACACCACCACCTTTACTTTTATTCACAACTCCTGTGACCACTTGACAGGTATTTTGTAGCAAATTATTTTTTATCTTCCTTTCTGGAAGAATGTAACTTCTATGAACAAAGATTTTGTTCAGATCCTTTATATCTCTTTAAAAAGGTTTCCCATACATGGTAAACAATACAAACTAGATGAATGGATGAATGGACGAATGAATGAACCAATGTCACCTTGTTGGTATGTGCAAAAAGTGCCATTTGTTAACTTCTTCTACCCATCCACATATTTCTGAGTTTTTCTTTTGAAATCACTTTACACTTCAGAAGAATTATAAAAGAATACAGCAAGCTCCTTTAAACCCTCAACCAGCTTCCATTAATGGCACCATTTTGCATAACAACTGCATACTTATCCAAACCAGGAAATACACACCGCTCCACTGTTATTTATTGAGCTATGGCCTTTATTCAGATTTCATCTTTTTCAGCTAATATACTTTCTTGGACCCTCTCTGCACATAATCTTAATAAAAATTTTTAAGGAAAAATAAAGTAATTTGCTAAATAATTTTTCTGAGTGAAGGTTGGGGTAAAATATCAGGAAGATAATAAATTTCTACTCAGGCTTTTTAATAGAGAAATTATAAGCCTCTGAGCTGTTAAGAAGCCTTTTCTCTCTCCATTTTGTGTGGGTGGAGAGTAAAAGCAGTTGTTTGAAAAAAATCCTGTTACTATGAGCATCTGTCAGAAACGTGTTGTTTCATAGACATCATTAGGTCCGACCAACTTTACCATGGTATCTTGCACAGAATTGATAAAGACACCTGTTCTTTTGTTCACAAAGAAAAGACTAATTATATGTAATTGAGTACAAACGCAAATGGGTTTGTCAGCAGTACCAGATAAAAATCTCTATGAATGTAATGATAAAAAAGTGCAGAACTCTGTTGGAACACTGGTGGCACAAAAAAGACACTTGGCATTTGCAGGGTAATAATAGGAATATTTTACATAAAATTAGAAAGCTAATTATTCTGCTCTGCTAGTTACCATAGAAAATACATTTGAAGAGGTTAAAGAGAAAGTGATAGAGATATTGTAAAAAATGCTGTGTTTTCTTTTCCTCTAAATAAAAACTGCTAGAGTTCTTCACAGTGGGATGGGTTACCTGATAAGTCAGTGCAGTGGTCAAGGTGAAGGTGTTCCAGCACCTGCTTTTCTGGCACCAGAAGCCAGGCCAGAGGTCTGAAGAGGTCTGTAAGTGGTGGCTGGAATAATCTCCGAACTCAGTGACTTTGCAAGTCCCCTCCAGTCTTGAGATTCTTTTAAAAATATACTGAGTACATAAGTATATGATATAAAATTGTAAAGGCACAAAAGAGTATACAGTTGAGAAAGAACAAACTAGTATGTGACAGCCAGGTTCTGGCTTGGCATTCCCAGTAGGCTGGGAGCTTTGTTGGATATAAACAGTTCACATCACACAAAATCAGGCAAGGCCACTGTGATGTGACAGATCAAGACAAAAGCAAGATCACTCTGAGAACAAGTACATAGTCCAGCCCATGCGACGATGAAACTTTCTCTGTCCTGGATTGTGTAAATGGTCCCCTCTGCTTTACTAACCGTAGAATCACACTCAGCCTTTTACAGCCTCCAATCAGAAGCAACTCCACTGTTCTGTGAGCTCCCCTGACCACACCCAAACCCTCCAAGTCTCTTCTTAGACCTTTTTGCTGAGACACACCGGCTTGGGCATGGTGTGTGTTTTTTCTCCTTACTGGGGAATAATTAATTCCAACTGTGTTCAGCCATGGCGTGTTTCTGGTATTCCTGGGTTGGAAGGCATTGGAATAATCAGAAACAACTTTCTTTTCCGTCCTTCCTCTGTCACCTGGTCATATGCTTGGT